ATATTGGTTAGCAGTAAAATTATAAGAGATTAGGTTGGGCCATGATTGGTGTAAGACTTTAATTGGTCTTCCCTAACGTATTTATGGACTAATTGTTGCACATGACCAAAAATAAATAAATATTCACAAGTTAGCCAATTTTTTTTTTTTTTACTTCATTTCCTCCATAACAATATACATACCTCATGACCTTACAATAATGTCAAAAAAAAAAAAATTAGTAATTGAACAATATTCGAACATCGTAGCTTGATTTAGGCGCGATTAATAATAAATTATCGTGACTATGGGTACGGTTCTCGTGGCATAGTCATGATACGTAAACTCCAATTCAAGTGCGCGTTTCACGCGACTTGACTTCAACTTCGAATAATAATAAAAATAAACATGTTGTAAATCGCGGGTGCGTTTCACGTGACGCGATTCGCAATATGTACAAAAACAAAATGAGTGTGCGACATCGCGACTTGTTCAAATAAGTTCCATAAATAATTAAAAGCGGTTAAAAGTTAAAAATGCACAATAGGTTTTAAGCATGTATTAAATCAGATAATTTGGCCAATCATTAATAGTTGAGCGACCATGCTAAAACCACGGAACTCGGGAGTGCCTCATACCTTCTCCCGGCTTAACAGAATTTCTTACCCGGTCTTCTGTGTTCGCGGACCATAAATAGAGTCAATTTCCTTGATTTGGAATTTTAAAATAAATCGGTGACTTGGGACACCATAACTTATTTCAAGTGGCGACTCTGAATTAAATAAATAATCTCATTTCGAATAATGTCACTTAAATTGGAAAAACTCTCGTATCCCTTATCCCCTCGGGAAAAAAAAGGTGTGACAACACTTTGTGTTTCGGATGGCCTTCTTTGTTAGTTATAAAGAATGCCGATTATTTGAGAAATTTTAACTATTGTCAATTTCTATTTTAGTGAATAAGGAATGGAATGGGAGAATAGGTATCCATTCTAAATCTACCAATCTAAAAACCATGGTAAATTTTTAAACAATGAGTACAGATAAATTTTTTAAACTAGCTCTGTTCATGCTAAACTAAAATACTACTTATTGATTGAGAAAAGAGTTGTTAGCACTTTTTTAAAATTTACATTTCTGAAAATCAGGCCCACAGCTTTAGAAGTTGACTTGAATTAGAACATATATAACTAACTTCTCCCAATGATGCCATCCAATAACCAATTATAAGTTTTGGAGTTTGACTTAATTGGGACAATTTTAACTAAACTCTCCTAATTATGTTATCCCTGTGGTTTGCAGTTTCACTTAAATTAAAATATCTCTAACTAATCTCCCCCAATAATGCCAAATTTGCGTGAAAAAGCATTGAATATTCATCTATACGTGATGTTTAGATCAACCAATGCAAAGCATACATTTTTCATATATACCTTTCTTACTTAATTATGTTTAAATGATATGTATTACTATTAATTTATTATGTAATTGTTAAGATTATATTTATTGGTTTGGTGTAAATATAAGAGAGTAAACATATATAAAAAATGAGTAAAAAGAGTCTGACTCTCTTTTGAAGTAGATCACTTACTCGTATCGAATATTTTTACCAAACTAAGGAATTTAGTTTAAGTAGTCGTGGAAGCATTTATTAATGCTTACATTCGGGTAGTTTATCTATATTACATCCTTTGGGTGCGATTTTTCTTACCCTGAATGAGCGCGGAATATGTTATACACGAACTGTCTATTTTAGTTAAAAAAAAATTGATGTGAAAATACATATCACTTAACCATAGTCAAAACCATGACTGTGTGTATGCAAAACACATATCTCTCTTCAAGCTGGGGCAGATTCAATGTTCCACCGACGGGTTCAATTAAATAACTTTTGATGCGGAGTAAAAATTTATTAAAATTATAAAAATAGTAGATATAAATCCATAACTTTAAAAATATAATAGGTTCAATACTAAAAATCTTAAAAGTTGAACTCATAAAGTTTAGATTCTGAATCCACGTCCGTCCTTGAGAGACATTGGGATATCGCATTCAACTGGTCCAACTCCCTACCTTCCAACTTTACCAAACACCAGGATTTGCTTACACCTACCAAATCCAAAATTATCGAGTTATTTTACTACAAATGAAAATTTCACTTTTTCAGTAAGATTTACTCATTGATTGAAAAATATAACTAAAACCAATTGCTCGTTATATCCCATTTTACGTGATACTATTATCGTTCGAATAAAAAAAAAATATTGGCTACGATATCTTTTAAATATTTTATCCAAATATGATAAATTGTGTTTCTAGTAATTTATGCATTGTCGCTAAATATGTAACTGATTACATATAATAGAAACGGAGAATAAACTTTAGAACGCAGGAAATGATTAAATTATGTTGAGTCTGTATACCAAATCGAATCGATACAGTAGAGAAATACTTTATATTTTTCCTTAAAAAAAGAAAACAAATTCTCCAATTAATGTAAAAGTGTTTTTAACAACAAAAAAAAAGGTTGAAGTGTTTCCGTGGTATCAACTTTTCAATAATAATTTAATATTTCCGAATATCTCAAACATATAATATAATTAAATTAAAGCAAGGGAAGAAGTTGAAACTTGTAGAAATTTGCATGATCTAAGGCGATTGTTTGGGAAAAGAGAAGAAACATAGATAGTGAAGAATTGACAAAGAAACATCATTAATAAAGTTGCATAATTGTTTTAAGCAGTACTGATGTGAAGCCCACTACTACTCCCATTTTCTGTAGAGGAAGAAAAGACCCTTTCAAAAGTGGGCATTAAACCCTTCCAACTTTACCCGAAACAACAAAAATAACAACAACAACAATAATAATAATAATAATAATATGCTTTTTGCGTGTCTTTGTACACATGGGCGGATGTAAGATTTCTCATACATGAGTGCACCGCTAATAAAAGGAGAAAAAAATAGTATTAAGTGAGAATTGATCTTTATTCCTCTAGGTGAATAACTCAACATTCAATCAAGTGCATCACTCAGTCTCTTTGACAGTTGGGGAACTAGGATTTTCATCAAGAGAATCCAAAATATAAAGAAACGAACATTCAGAGAAGCTAATGTGATTCAACCTCTACAATATACACGTAAAAACTAGTTTTGACTTTGTATATATAGTGTGATTTTCCGGATCAGGAGGTTCGAATAAACCCTCATTCGCCACCCTAGTTCCGCCCATGCTCTTTGGAGTAGTTAGGTTAGACTGCCTACATCACCCCTTTGGAGTGCAGACCTTCCCCGAATCCTATTGCGGAATATCTATGCACGGGGTTGCCCTCTCTTAGGGCCCGTTTGGCCAAAAAAAATTCCTTTTTTTCTAATTTTTTTTTTCTTTTCGAAATCAGTGTTTGTTCATAAAATTTTCGATTTTCATTTGGAGATAAATTTCAGAGTTTTTTGAAAATTAAAAAAATTCCGAAAAGCTATTTTTCAAAAAAATTCACTTCAGATCACTCACAAAAATTCAAAAATAATCCAAAATTATATTCATATCTAAACACGACTCTAATTTTTAAATATCATTTTTATTTCAATTTTTTTTTAACTTTTTTCCGAAATTTTACAATTCTGATGTCCAAACGGCCACTTAGTGTTGTATGCGAAGCTCAGCAAAAGTAACTATTTTAGAAGTTTCGAAAAAACTATGCATTAAACACTAGATGATGATTAGAAAACGAATTTCACTCAAACATGCATGTTATATTTAAACCGATTATTAATATCGTACAAAACCAGATTATGTGCACAATCAAAACAATGTTCAGTTGTCAGATAAAGAAGGGGAAAAAAAGTAGAAAAATAATAATTTAGGAAAAATAACAATATGGAATCCTAATGATTAATTTTCAGTCAATTTCTTATTAGAAATATTTTTAAGTGGTCATTCGGTCGGCCACTGAGCAGTGAGCTTTCCAAGTATGAAAGACCATAACCTCCTTGTCACTCTAGCCATCCCTCTTTATTACCGTTAATCATACTCCCTCCTCGGGACCCAAAAGTCCACTTGCTACTTCCACAAAGACACAAAAGAAAACAATTTACTACTATAATGTTTGTTCAAACACTAATATCTAGACAAATACTTTTGAATTTTGTCAAAGGTTAAACTCATTTTGCATATTGATTTTGAAGTAGGAGGAGGACTCTTTTTACCATTATAATGTTGAAGGTTATTGTTTTGTCGAGCAAAGATTAAAAAAGACGAACGACATAATTTTCGAAATATTATATGTCCATCATACGATGATACATTAAATATATGCAAGGATGAATAGTTAAATAGGTCTTTGTAATTTTAGCTTGAGCTATTAGAAAAGATAATTTGGTGAGTATTAATCTAATTCAATTGGAAATCATTGTTTTTTCTTTTGGATTTTAACCTTATGATATTTGGAACTAATCTAACTAATTTTAAATTAGCATGACGTAGAACTTGTTTAGGAAGAAACACTTCAGAAAAAAAATTTATTTTCAAAGTTCAAACCCAAAATATTTAAGGACAGTTTGGTACATTAAACTCTAGTTATGCGCGGGATTCGCGGAAGGGTTAGACCACGAGAATCTATTGTATGCAGTCTTACCCTACATTTCTGCGAGAGTCTGTTGTCATGGTTCGAACCCGTGACCTTCTGGTCACATGGCAACACCATTACCGATTACGCCAATGCTCCCCTTCAAACCTAAAATATTTGATTAAAGAAAAAAAAAATCACTCATTCCACCACATTTCTTGGTGATCAGTTGAGAAAAGCATAATTTGATCAATATATATCTTGCTCCAAATTAGGAAAAAAGAAAAATATGAATAACTTATGTGAGGTAAAAATACTATTTCTAATAAAAATACTATTTATACCAACTCACATGTACTCTTATAAATCATACACTAGTTAATTAAAATATATTTTTATCCATTAAAGTAATTTAAATATGACAAATTAATATGATTTGCCATAAACGCCATAGCACACCATCACAAACATAGAAGAGAAAGAAGCTTTCACACACAAACCTTCCTTCTAAGTCTTCACAAAGCAAAGCATCCTCTCTCTATTCACACTCACCCCATCTCTCTCTTCTTCAATTTTCTCCTCTCAATTCACAAGCCAAGTATTTGATTCTGTGTAACAACACTCTATGTTTTCATAGGAGCAGAATGCCAGTAGAAATGGAAGGAACAACAAAACCTCCACAAATTTCTGATATGTTTCACAAATTCGCCCATGTTGTCCGTACCAAAACCTTCGAACTCTTCGCCGATGAAACCGGCGAGGAAAACACCTCCAACTCCACTGATGTCTTCACTCTGTTCAACTCCGCTGAGGAATTCATCCCTAATCAAAAAGTCGTCGTTATAAAACCCGATTTCTGCAAATTCCCAGAAAATGAAAATACCCATTTTACTAAATCCCTAATTTCTTCACTTTTTGCTACAATTTCGTCCTTTGAAGCTTCTTATCTTCAGTTGCAAACAGCTCACGTGCCGTTCGACGAAAAAGCGATCGAATCAGCTGATAAAGTTTTGGTATCAGTTCTTCAGAAATTAACTGAAATGAAGAATTTGTATAAGGATTTTAGGAAAAACCCAAGTTGTAATTTTGATGAATTTGTAGGGTCGGAATTGGAATTTCAGGTTCAAGAAAATCAGAGCAAGCTCAGAGTTTTGGAGACTATGGTAAATCAGTTAATGTCTTTTATGGATTCTAAGGATGATGAAGTTTTGATTTTGAGGAAAAAAATGGAAAAATTGGAACTTTTTAATTTCAATTTGTCAAAAAAATTAGGGGTCAAAAATGAAAATTTGGAGAATACCGGTACGAAGGTATTGTGTACAGTTACTGTTTTTGAATCTATGTTGCGCGATTCGATTAAGTTAGTGAATAAATTTTGTAAGTTGTTAATGGAGTTGATGAAAAGAGCAGGTTGGGATTTGGAGAAAGCAGCAAATTCTGTGTATTCTGATGTTAATTATGCTGAAAAAGGACAGTTTAAGTATGCGTTTATTTCGTATATTTGTTTGGGCATGTTTAAGGGCTTTGATCTTGAAGATTTTGGTTTGTGTGATGAAGAAATGTTGTGTAATAGTGATGGTTTAATGTCTGGTGAAAATGATTATTTGAAACAATTACTTGAGCATGTTTCATGTAATCCGATGGAGGTTTTAAGTAAGAATCCTAATTGTGCGTTTTCAAGATTTTGCGAGAAGAAGTATGAGCAGATAATTCATCCTACAATAGAGTCGTCGATTTTTAGAAATTTGGATGGGAAAGAAGTCATAGTGGATTCTTGGAAGTCGTTAAGTGTGTTTTACGAGTTGTTTGTAAGGATAGCAAGTGCGATATGGTTGCTTCATAAGTTGGCCTATTCCTTTAATCCTGTAGTCGAGATATTCCAAGTCGAGAGAGGGGTTGACTTTTCGATGGTGTACATGGAAGATGTTTCGAGGAAAAGTCAATTCCCTTTGAGCAAGACGAGGCCAAAGGTGGGATTTACCGTCGTACCTGGATTTAAAATTGGGAGGACGATCATTCAGACACAGGTTTATCTTACTGGCTTAAAATGCACGGAATAGTGTGAACAAAGAGATCTGTACAGTGGTTTGCAAGTTTCTTTGCTTTGTTGTGCTTTAGTTCATCTAACTTACACCAAAAGATTCAGATTGCTCCATTTGACAGCTAAATCCCTTTGGTAATGACTTCAAAGAATTCTTGTCAAAGTGATAGATGCTGCTGTTGCCAAGGGATAAGCCATCTTGTCTCGCAGCAGAAGTTGGTGGCCTTGCTGGCCAGGGCTGGTATGGATGCTCTTTGTTATTATCGCTAGTAAGTAGTCACTGCCTCACTGGTTAGTCTAATTTGTGTATTTGCTTGCTTAGAATTCCTGTTTCTAGGGGGTTCTGTTAGTCCTATGAAATGTATGTAAAGCACTGATTTTATGGTTTTCTTTTTGTTGTTTTTCTTTGTATTCTGGTTCTTTTTAAATTAGGAAGGTGAGATGAGGTAGTGGGAGTACAGCATATTACACAATCAAAATGTAACTCTTTTAATGTCAATATGACAGTAATTTCAATAGTTAATGAATTCTTTCATTAGTTAGTGTAGTTACTAGTTTTAAAAGTATTGATTTGCTTTAAAGAATTGTTCCTTGTTCTCTAGCCACGTCAATGTATTCCCAACCTTGGTCGTTGATAGTTTTTGGGCTTGATCAACTATTTCTGCACTGCTTTATTTCTATGTGTAGATTACTTATTTAAAAAAAAGTTTATTTTTCCTTCATGTAGATTGGAGATTCTTATCTTGTATGATTATATGTTTTCAGATTCACGAATTGCCTGTAGTTATTACATTGCTATTACTATCTTTCTTGAAAGAAAAGTGTAGTGTTTGTCTCCACTTTTCTGCATGTGTATGAAGGAGGATTAGCTGAAATAGGATGGTCTTTCTTTTTCCATCAGTAATTCATTCTTAATAAGCATGAGCTTTACTTTGAATGTCAATTTATGTAAAGGAAGATAAGCAGAACTAAAACTATCGTGTGTTGCTAAATTTGAGTGAAGGAAATTACCATACAGTTAAGTACTCGCATTTTTGCTTTTCTGATAATTTTAAATGCTACCCAAGAGAAAGGATATTAACTCTCTGATTAAATTCATTTCCAAGTGATGAATTGTGTGCATATAATGCCAGAGCAAAAGCATGCATTATGTGCAATTCTATGTCATCCACTGTGAGGGCTCACTTATCAGCAAAAAAATTAATTTTTAGGACTGACTAATTTCTTCATAATACTGTTGTACTTTTGAGTGTCTTCCCATAAGTATGCAATTTTATCATTTGTTGTACATGTCTAAGGGCTTTGATCCGGATGGCATGCGAAAATGGTTGTTTGAAACAATTAATTGAGCATGCTTATGTAATTCAATGGAGCCTTTGAGTAGGAAATCTAGCTTTGTGCTATTCCAAGTATTATGAGGATTCATCATGAGTTTTACGCTGGTTACCATCCTACCGCAACCCTCCAAGCCCCGGCAATGTGAGCAAGCGCACACTAGCGGAGTTTGTGTGCTATTCCAGGTACGAGTGAATATTCATCTTATATTAGAATCTTCTAATTTCACCCATCTGGATGAGAAAAAAGTCAAACTAGATTCATGGAAGTCGCTCAGTGTGTTCTACTAGTTGTTTCTAAGGATGGCATATTGGCATGTACAATTGGTTGCCTCATAAGTTGGCATGTTCGTTTAATCCTGTAGTTGAGATTTCAAGTTGAGAAAAAGTTGGACTTTTGGATTGTTTACATGGAAGATGTTACAAGGAAAAGTCAATTCCTTCTGAGCAAGATGAGGCCAAAGGTGGAAATTAATATTATACCTGTGTTTTTGTAGTTGAGAGGAGGATCATTCAGCCTCAGGTTTATATAACTGGCTTTATAGTGCTGTAAACTAAGAGAGTACAGTGGTGTGCAAGATCTTTGCTTGATTCCTCCAACTTAAACGGAGAAATTCAGTGCGCTCCATTTGTCAACAACTCCTTTTGGTACCATAGGACGGTGAAGTGATTTGGTAAGACATGACACATCTTCAGCTTACCGAATATGATCCTTGATAGGAGGGTGTGGAGGTCGAGAATTAGGGTAGTTGGTTAGTAAGTAATCGAGTGTATTTCGCTTTCATACCTATATTGCTTTTCCACACATATGTACTAGTGTAGTCTAGTATTTTTTATTCTTAGAAAATTATTACAACTTGTTGTTTCTTTTGTTTCGGTTATCTTGTTTTCTGATTGTGATTAATGCTTCTCTTTCCCATGGCTTCTTCACCGTATTTCTTTTCTAAAACTGTTGTGTTCATGCTTTCCTCGCGCCGAGAGTCTATCGGAAATAGCCTCTCTACCTTGTAAAGGTAGGGTAAGGTTGTTGTACCCTTTGGTACTATAATTCAAAGAGTTCATGTCAAAGTGATAGATGCTGCTACTGCCAAGGTAGAGTCGTCAAAGTTGTCATCCCTTACTGTCCAGGATTGTTATGTATGCTTGTTATTACGGCAGTAATTGGTTGCTAGTTAGTCTAATTTGTGTATTTGCTAGAACTTCTGTTTCCAAAGCTTCTGGTAAGTCCTGTGAAATGTTTGTAAACCATAGAGTTTATGTTATTTCGTTACTTTTTCTTTTTTTTCATTTTTTGGTTCTTTAGCTACGAAATCCCACATTTCTTAGGATTAGCTATCCTTAAAAAGTTTTTTTGTTAAGTGTATTCTTCTTATCCCTTTTGGAGAGTATCATGATGTAATTATAAAATTACCACTTCAAAGTAAGGTTTTCTTTCTGTTTTATGTGCAAATTAGATTAGTCTTCACATCTACATGTTACTAGTTTAATCAAATTTATAATAGTGTTTAAAAGAATTTTTTATATCAAGATTAATCTCAACTCTACGACAAGGTTTCATTTTTAAAATAAATTTGAATTGTGGAGGAGACATAACTCAACATCCTATGTTCCCCTCTCATTGCTTGAGATGTTGATTGTCTGATCATCTTTAACTTGTTTCTTTGGCCAAACCNCGTAATTATCTCGTATTAATCACTAAAAGGTATGTAAAATCCAAAATTATCATGCATACAACATATATAAAAGTAAACTCAAATAATAAGAAAAGTGAGACAGTTCCTTCAATTGAAAGATGTTTAAAATCAATAGGTGCTTTTGAAGAATTGGAATTAACAATTAGGAAGTAAACAACTAAATAAGCGTAAAGGATGATTTAGAACAAATTAATGGACTTCCCCGAAGATACATACCGATACAGTGAAAGTATATATGAATTAAACAAGATCAAGTACATGTTCACCATTGAAAAGCAGTTCAATGAGAAAATAAACCGACAAAAAAACATCTCAAAGTGAGTATAATAAAATATTCCTTTGCAAACTCATTTTATCAGCTAAACAAATAAAAGTTGTCAAAAAGTTCAAAATAAGTTGGTTATTTTGCCTATTCATTCCCTTAAAAGTTAAAAAACAAATTGTACGGCCTTTACCCTACTTATTTTTAATAAACATAAAGTTTTGAAATATTGGGCAAAAACAATAGAAAATCATGGTTCACGGTAAACCTAGGAGTATTTCTCTTGTCATGCTACTTCATTCTACTATTTCAGTGTTTTCTCCAAAATTCTTTTCTAAAGTATCATCAATTCTTATAAGAACTCAATTTTAACTCAATTTGAATCGTTATGTCCTACTGTTCTACAATTCTATTCGCATAATAACACTTTAAAATGCCTCTTACCCTAATTTAACTATAAATTTATATACTTGTTAATTATCATCTAACTTTCACTAATGCGCTATTAAAGATCTCTAATTGAGTAGCATGACAAATATACTCCAAGAACTTATCAAGCTAATCCCTTTACCAATTCCACATGGATAAGAATAGTACTTCAATATATATCGTGGACTTTGAGAATTTTAGTTGTTAGTTTTCATTGAAGTTGATGCACTTTTTTTCATTTGTCTTCTCTCTTTCTTGCCAAAATTTTGGATATTTAGGTTGGTTAAATAATTTTTTAAAGAGATAATTTCATGTTGATTAACTTACACTCAAAATTAAAGGGAATAGATAGATATAGATAATTGTTATAAGTATACAAATTTATAATGAGGGAAGGGGAAAAAGAATTAGTGTTTCCTTTTTTTAAACATCCATCAGATTCTTTTTTATGCTTAAAATCTATTAATTTTATGTACATGCAAATTTAATATCCCACTAATAAAGAATTAGGAGAAATCTTAAATATTCGATTACTTTGATGCCCCAAAGAAGAAGAACAAGAACCATCCGCGCTACTTGTTTTCTTTTGCGGATATTTGCTAAGTTTATGGTTAATTGGTTATAGCTTTTACTCTTTCGGAAAGAAATATGTATATCAATTAAATATGATTTATAACAAAAAAAAAAAAAACTTTACCTAATATCTATTTTACAAAATCATATATGTGTTTTCTATTCAAATATGAATCACGTCCGACGATATTAATACTTATATATTAACCATGCAAAAAATATTAGATTGTTTGCATTAACATATATATACTTCTAGGATGACAAAATAAAATAATTTTTATAATGCATATACGCTAAAGATCATCTTATCTTGGTAAGAAAAATATCGTGATGGCTCTGGCTGTTATACAACCAGCAATAGTTGCCATGAGATCTTTCTTATATTTTTGTAGTGCCAATAGTTCCATTTGACTCTATCTTCAGCTTTTCATCATCCATGAAAGAAATATATTTCTTGCGACTATTATTATACATGAAAATTCAGCTTATGCGTTAAAATGTTTCTACTTTCTACAACATGAAATATTCCATACTTCATATTTATAAGAGAAGGAAATTGGAATTGGAAGTCTATGCAAAGTCATGATTCTATTGCACAATGTTAAATTGTCCAAGTGGATAGTACATTTAATAGTTGATTTCAAAATCCTAAATATTAGACCAATCCCTAAATAGTATAGTTTTAGATCAAGCCCTAAATATTATAGTTTTATATCTTGTACGGAAATCTTTTATTGAATAAGCAAATAGGAAAAAAAATATTCTTGAAATAAAAATAGGCAAATTGAATTCCAATAATTAGGTATTTGTTTATAGGATAGCTTAGTAGATTCACACCTTAAATTTGGATTTGTGTCAACTTCCTCCAAGAAGAACGTATATGGAAGATATGGGGGGGGGGGGGGGGAGTAGGATAGCCAATTTAATTAATTGGAGTTCTAATTAATATCTGATTGCAATTTTAGGAGAGAAAGAGTAGAAGATTTAGTTTGGTCGCAATTAATAATTGTAGTACTTTTACAATTTTGTACAAAAGTCTATCAATATTTTAAGGTTAATTTAGTCCATCAACATTGTATTCATACTTTTATAATAATATAGATAGATAGATAGATATAGATAGATATATTGTCAGCAAAGAAAACACGTGGTTTTAGTAATTTTTCATAGCGAGCTTTGTAAGGTTATAAGCGCGCTGCAGTAGATATAGGAACTAGGAAGTATATTAAAATGCAGTTGAACCAACATCAATTACAGTAACTTTTTTTGCTTAATCATCGGGTATCTGATACTGGCTAGTTCGACTAATTCAGATTCGTGTAGGATACGGTCTATTAAACGAGAAGTGCTCCCTAGTAGGAGAAGTGACTGGTCCAACTAATTCGGATTCGCGTGGCATGACATACAGTCTATTAAATGTGAAGCGCTACTTACTAAGAGTTTCTCAATTTTCAAGACTCGAATCAAAAGCAAAGTTGTCTCCGATCAAGGCACACCCAACACCATGCCAATCAAAAAAATTTCCTAATTTTCAAGGAGACGACAACAACAACAACAACAACAACCCAGTATAATCTCACTAGTGGGGTATGGGGAGGGTAGTGTGTACGCAGACCTTACCCCTACCCTGGGATAGAGAGGCTGTTTCCAAATGACCCTCGGCATCCTTCCCTCCAAGAACTCCCCACCTTGCTCTTGGGGTGACTCGAACTCACAACCTCTTGGTTGAAAGTGGAGGGTACTTACCATCAAATGAAAATATTTGTGTAGTCACTACCTTGAATGATTTCAGGGTGTTGAAGAACTAAGCCATCAATGGGAAAACCAATTGGTTCCTATGTTTGACTTGTCTAAAGCTGGAAAAAGACATGTTTTCATTGGAAATATATCAAGAGTAAAGCAAATAAAATCCTCCACTTGTATCTTTAGTCTTTGATATGCCTCTCCTACTCACAATTAGCGGTATATTATTCTAATTATTCTAATTAGTCTAATAAGGTGAAAGTTAGCGGTATATTTGGACCTTTTTTAGTTGTTTAACGAATGCTTTAAATTATTGCAAATGATATATATAAATTAGGGCTGTCAAATTTGGCACAAGCCCAAATGATTCGCCCAACCTGCCCAAAGTTAGGTTGGTTATTGACCCACACATTTATTGAACTCATTTAATCTTGACCCAACTCAGCTCAACATATTTAAAGTTGGGTTAATATTTAGCCCAAATTGACCCATGAGTAACTTTGCTAAAATATATTAGAAATAATTTTTTGTGTATAAGATGTCATATATGACCATAACAAAAAAAAAGTCTTATTTAGTAATTATACTATTCATAAGAAAATAACACATATTAATTAAAGAAGAAATTTTTATAGTTACTTAAGTATTTGTAAAATATTAAATAATCTACGACTTGGTTTTGAATTACAAATTGTACAATATATATATATATATATNGAAACGTATAGTTATTCCAAATAATACTCCAATTTGTTAATCATTGATTATCACTATAAACATATTAGATTACCACTACAACACTACCTCATAACCAACGCTCCATATTCCCTAAAAATAGGTACTACACAGCAGTAGTTCGTATGAAAAGTATCGATTCTTCCATTGTCTCTTTCTGGTTCTCCATCTAGGTAGGTATACTTAAAGTAAGATCTCTAAGAAACAATGGTGAATATACCAACTCTGATTCAATACAATAGAGTATGGCAAGACGATCGCAGATATGTTAAATTTGATGCCGAAGGAATTTTGATCAATTCTGATGATGGATCATTCTTGTATTTATTTGTAGCTATTTATGCATCGATCAAAGGGTGGGAGTATTGCAAACCAATCGTCGTTGTTGATGACAGTTATCTAAAATCTACACGTAGAGGAACAATAGTCACTGCTTCCAAAGTAGGAGAAATATTCTTCAAATGAAACTACCCAAAAAAAG